ATGAACTAACTTATGTGACTGGACATGCGAACACACGTTCACGTCTTTGAAAGTTCGTAACTTGAAGGTTCGTATGGAGGGGACTTACTGTACTGGGAATTGGTCTTTTCACTTTTGATCATATATTTTGGTGCACAAAAGTATTCAGTTTTGATGAATTCCAATTTATCTATTTTTTTCTTTGGTTACTTGTATCTGACCACCACTTGAAACTCCTCTAACCCACCCTCCACACAGCAGCTAGAGGGAGCTTTCAAAACTTGTGTCCCCTCCTGCTCAAAACAGTGCCATATTTGTGATTTAGAACAGTGCTTCTTACATCAAATATGCAAGGGAAGCACCTGAGAATCTTACAAAATGTAGATTCTGATTCAGTAGGTCTAGTGTGGAACTTGACAATCAACACATTTACCAAGCTTCCCAGTGATTCTGTGGCAGTTTGTATTTTCTGAAAATGACCACAGCAATATTTCCTGTTGTTACTGAACTGAACTTGATTTTGCTTGCCCATTGCGCAGCAAAGTCAGTCTTCTGGAACCGAGTTGTGGTAAAGGAAAGTATAGCATTTATTTGCAGGCACCAAGCAAGGACAATGGGCAGCTTGTGCTCAAAAGACCCAAACTCCCTGATGGTTTTCAGGAAGAGTGTTTTTGGTTTTGTTTTTTGGCCATGCTGCGTGGCTTGTGGGATCTTATTTCCCTGACCAGGGATCAAACCCGAGCCCTCAGCAGTGAAAGTGCGGAGTTCCAACCACTGGACTGCTAGGGGATTCCCTCAAATGCTACTCTTAAACCAGGTTTGTCAGGGGAAAGCAGAAACACAGTCCTCCACTACCACAGATTATGCAGTCAATTTCCCACATTTGGGGAAATCACAGGGGTCAGCACATCCGGAGTGCAATGGATAAGCCTCACCCTGGGAAAACCACCTTCGTGATCACGGTATCTCCCCTGCCAGGTAAGTATTAGGAAGGGTTTTTAAAGGCAACTTTTGAGGTTAGGGCTTCAGAGTACGTGACTTTCTTCTGATTGGTTGGTGGTGAAGTAACAGGGTGATGTTTCAGGAATCTTAATCATCAACCTTCTGGTTCCAACCAGTCTGGGGTCTACATGCTTGTGGTCAGCATTTAGTCACCATCCTCCACCTGAGTCGGGGTCTTAATTTCTGCAGAACAACTTGAAGGTATGCATCAGACTGCTATATATATCGCCTGAGAAGGAACTAGCACTCTGCTTTATTGCTGAACCATTGTTTAAGCCATCATTACTTTTCTTGATTGACTGTTTTTCCTTTGTTTCTGCATTCTCTCACTTCCCTAATTCCTAGTAACTGTTTGAATCTGATCTTTGGAACTCAGGGAAGGTCTAGGAGACTAAAGCTTCTTTCTGCAAACAAGAAACAGGGGACACAGAGGGGCTTTTGTACCTGGGAGGGCCCCACAGGATCCTGCTTGGTTTCCCTGGTCCACATGCTTCCAGAACCTTGCACTCCCCATAAAGAGGTGGGAACCATTTCCCCTTCCCCTGAGCCTTTGCAATCACCATAACAGGAGGAATATGGCGAGGGTGACTACCTGGCATCTGAAGCTAAGTTTTACAAGGCAATATGGCTTCTGCCTGGCTCTCTCTTCATGACATTTACCTTTGGAACCCACCCACCATGCTGTGTGAAAGCCAATCTCACCCATATGGAGAGATGGCCTGCAGAGGAACAGAGGCCCCAGCTAATAGCCAGCATCAACTACCAGACATGTGAATGGATGTGCCTCCACCTGAAGCGCAGTAGCTCACTGTGGAGCAGAGATGAGTTATCCCCACAGACTGCAGATTCATGTGCAAAATACATGCTGTCATTGCTTAAAATAACTGAGTTTTGGGGTTGTTTGTTATGCAGCAGTAGATAGCTGCAGCAATGCTCATCCCGCTGGTCCATGGACCGCACTTTGAGTAGCAAGAAGCTAGATCACTAGACCTTCTAGGACTTTTGCACATGCGATTTTCCTACTTGTTACTCTTTCC